TGTATCCACCCTAAATCCAGATCCACCCCAAGCTAGTGTAGTATGTTGTGTTTATTGCAATTTCATATTTTCTTTTTCTGTTTTCACTTTAATTCCCTATATGAATTTTTTAATATTTGTTTGATGTTGGTGTTTGTTTAAATTTCAATATCATGCAAATTACATGAAGCAATATAAGTACTAATGCATTAATATATGCCCTAATGGATGCTGGCAACCTTTATAACCTATTCCTTGATGATGAGATGTGGAGTAAATTGAAAGCAATTAATCCACTCAAATATGATATGGCTATATGGATGAATAACATTGTTAAAGGAAGTTACAAATACCTTAAGTATTAGTAATGATGATTTATGTACTTTCAGATTCATTTGGAATTTCAAATTTAAGTTTTCAGTAATGCACTTCCTATTAGCAATTTTTTTGAAAAAGCTGATGCAATTTCACTTTTTATTCTAGTTCTATTTATTTGAGTTTGGTAATTAAGGAATCAATTATAAAAAAATAAGACATCTTTTAGTTTGACTAGTAGAGTTGATCTCATTAGATACTTGAGTTAAATTTTCAAAATTTTTGATTGATTTATTTATTTTTTGCAGGCATTGTTGGTTCAGTTTTACAATCTACATTGAATTCAAGTTTTTATTTGAAGCTTATGCTTAATATTCAGGAATTTCTAATGGAAATTTATATTTATATTTGAGTATAAATTCAATTTCCAACTAAATGCATTGATTCACATTCAAGATAAGATTCAATTGCAAATTGTAATTCAAGTATGCATGCGATTGCAATTTTAATTTTAATTCAAAATAAGTCTAATAAAATGAAATAAAAAAGAACAGAAAAAAACTAAAACATAGATTCACAATAAAAGAAGATTCACTTGCAGATTGTAGTTCAAGTTTGCTTGCTCTTGCAGTTTTAATTTTAATTCAAGATTAAGTTCTAATGGTGGTTTTGATTTAGAATTAGCCTCATTGTCAAATTTAATAGTTGACTCTTGTTCAAATAAGTTTTCTTGATTCAATCTTAAATAAAAATTCAGTTCAATTTTAGATGGGTATGTTCAATTTTAATTTCAGGGTCAATTCTAATAGTGGTTTAGATTTAGAATTAATCTTGTATTAATAAAAATTTCTTGGCTCTTCTTTAAATGTAAGTTCAGTTTAATTTTCAATTTAAACTCTATTTTTATGTTCAAATATGATTTTAGGCTTAATTTAAAAGTCATATTTTGCTTTAGATGTTATCTTATGCTTATATTCAATTTCAGACTTAATTTCCATTTCTTGTATGTGAATATATTCAAGTTAATAACCATATTATAACTTAGTTGCTTATCCCAATTCAGATTCAACATTGTTAGATATAGGCTTATATTGTAATTGTAAAATTTCTCTTACATCTAATGCTCAATATTAAAATATTATTTATAAACATTGGTTTGTTTGATATGTTTATGTTAGATTTTGCATTACTCTTTTGTATGTTTTTGTTGACTGGTTTTAGAGGAGAGTAATGATTTCTCTTTAGGGACTTTATTTATAGGCATGGTAGTTTTAATAGATCATTTCTAATATGCCTCAATATTGAAAAATTTGGTTAATTTCTAATTTAAGGTTTTTTGATAAATTGTAGTCTTGGGGCAGTTTGCCATTTAAGAAGGCAACTTTAGAATGATTGTGGTAAAAGTGGCTCTTTTTATAAAAAATTATTTGTATTATATATATTTTTTCATTTTGAAATAGGCGTTCCCTAGGATTGAAATGTCTGGCCTGTATATTGTTAAAAACGTGCAAGGGTGGTTGCACTGTCAATCATGTTAAATAAATAACGGTTTTTATATTTTGGACGCACACGGGCAAAAAAATTAGTCCATGAATTAATATTAAGATTTAAATTTAGAATGTCGGTACTCTTATAGTTAAATTAATGAAATTAATATGTATTATGGTTCATAAGAAGATAAATATCTTATACATTCAAGAACCTAAATTAGTTAGCGAATAAGTCAAAGGGATTGATAGCTTAGGTTTCAAAAGTCGATATTCATGTAGGAGCCAGGCTAGAAATGATGCAAGTATAATTATGGATAAGAATTTGAAAGATAATGTAATAAAATTTAAGAGAGTTGGAAATAAAAATATAGCTCTAATGATTATTGCTGATGTTAAGATTTCTAATATTAAAAGTGCTTATGCTTCTCAGTTAAGGTTTGGATACATGCTCAAAAGAAAAATTTTAAAATGATCTAAAAAATTAATAGAAATGATACCTTATGAAGAAAAAATGTTTATTAGAAGGAATTTAAATGGGCATATTGGTAGAGTAGTAGAAGATTTTAGAACTATTCATGGTGACTATTGTTTTAGTGTAATTAATGACAATGTTTGATTTTGTTTTTACTTATAATTTTGTTATTGCTAACACTTTATTTAAGAAAATAAATGTAGAGGTAATTACTTATAAGAATGAATATAATAAAACAATATTGATTATTTTCTGATGAGAACAATAAATTATTGAGATTGCAAAGATTGTAAGGCTATTAATGGTGAAAATTTTCGTATCAAACATCGATTATTAGTTTTGGATTTTAGGATGAGGGGTTGGAAGATGAAAATTACAACGCAATATTAATACGTATTAGATAGCAGTACCTAAAAGATAATTAATTTTTTTTAGTTAAACTTCAAGATCTTAAGATTTTAGATATTATTGAAGAAGTTAATATTATGTAGGATAAAATAACGAGTACTATTAAACAATTTGTAGATTGGATAATCGAAAGAAAAACTCTTATGAATAAAAATAGTTGATGGTAAAATAATAATGTGCAAAAAAAAAAGTTGTTTTAAAAATTAGTTTATATGTAAGAACTCAGAGAAACATAAAAATAAAAGGTGACCAGTAGAATGCTTAAAAGAAAAATTTGCGATATTAAAAATTTTTGTTTTAGTGATTTTATAATAAATTAGATATTAAAAAGAGTGAAATATATATTCATAAACTAACCAAATAATGGGAAGAGAAAATAAAGATTTAGTTCAAGTAATAGTGTATTAAAGCTGAAAATAAAAAAAATTATGCTTTTCTTAGAGGTTGATATTCAAGATAGGTGGGTGAGATATTTTAATAAACTTTTCAATAAAAATTATGAAAATTTGATTAACTTTGTAACCTTCATAGCATACATAAGAATAATGATTTTTTTTTTATTTCTACCATCATATTAATAAAACAAAAGGCGGGGAGGTTTTAAAGAAAATTAAGTATGGAAAAATAATAGGATCTTTTGGTATTTCATTAGAAGTGTGAAAATGTTTAAGAGATCTGAGAATTTCTTCGCTTACTAAATTTTTAATATTTTTTAAAAAGTAAAAAAAAATTATCGAACTAGATTTAAAAATTTCTTCACTTTTTTAAATCTAGTACTTTATTATAAAAATATTGTTTTTAAAAAAGGGAAGAAATTTATTCACATGTAGATGAATAAGCTTAGAAGAAGAATTTTTTGAAGCAAAAAGTTCTATCTGAAAGGGAAAAAAATTTTGTGAATGAAAGAGATGACTATGACTATTGAATTATTTTTTCTTGTTTTATGAAATTTGAGATTTTTTATATTTATTTATGTTTTAAAATTTAGATTTTGTTTTGAATTATAAGTTATCTTTTCTTATAATTTTAAAGTTTTTTAATTACTAAAATAAACTATTAGGAATTATTCGAAATTTGCAGGTTCACCTTCAATGTTTGCATTCAGTTTATGTAATGTACCTCATTTTTTATTTTATATCAACTTATAAGTTATGTAATAAATGATTTATATTTTATAATTGTTAATGAATGTATTTATAAAGTAATAGTTTTATATAACCTATTAGCTCTTTAGTGTCGTTTCACTTTGCGCTTTGCACTTTGAACCAAAAATAAAGCTTTATGAATCACAATGTGCTTTGATAACATTGGTCTAAAGCTTTGGTGAATTCAGAATTCACCATTTAGTTCAAATTTAAAGTACTTGGAAATTGGCAGTTTCAATTGATTTCCAAATACACCAAAAAATTGGTCTTGCGGCTACTACCCACCACTGCCTTCTTGTGCCGCCACCCTTCCCCCACTAGCCTTTGCCCCTACCTCCTAGTTTTATTTTGAATTTATTTTACTTCAACTCAAAAAAGTTTTCTTTTGCATTTGTTTTACATTTAACCAAATAACTTAAGTAATTGATTGAAACTACTTATTAGGAGACTAATACCTAGCCATTCACGACATCATTACACAAAGTGTAATCAATGATACCAGTAAGATGCTCATGCCTGTTACACAGCTATCTATGGTTTTTATCTTTAGCATTGGGTCTGGATCACTCCCTTTGAATTTAAACTTTGATTATATAAGTACTTTGCGTACCTACCTAGAGCAGTCATTCATATGGGATCATCTCTACGTGCTGAATACAATAATTTGCATGCAAAGCTTTATGCAATGCTTCGGGTGTAAGTTGCATTAACATTGATAATCATTAGGTATACCTTTTCTTTCCTGTTTTTAAAAACTTTTTGTGACCCTAAAAGAAAGCAAAAACAAAATTTGACGCTCTGTTCTTATTTCTAGCTACCTTCCAGTGTTTATAAACAAGATTGCAACTTGTTCAGTTCTATTATTCTTCAAACGTTTCATTTACCTGGTTCAATTCTTATGTTCTTTGGCCTCAATGAACATTTCTAATGCTTTCAAACTTGTCTATATTATTATTTTTTATATGAAGTTGTTTATTTTTTCAAACTCTCTCGTATGCTTATCTAGATTAGAATTATGCTATTTTTTCGCTTAATTATGCTATCATGCTGCATACAATGAATCAGTTTTAACTGAAGATTGCAAAATCTCTACCTTATCATATTCTAATACATATTTCTCTCATACTCCTGATTGTTGCATTTCTCCAATAATCTGACTTATTGTTTACATTTCGTTTCATTGAAATGAAGTCTTACGCTCTTGGCGAAATACCATCAATAAGTGATAGGATTACTATTATTCGCCAACTTTGGGATCTTACAAGAGATGTTCTGGTATGTGAATGTAATGGTACCAAATATTATGTCATTTAATAACTCTTCGTTATTGGTTGTACGAACTATTCATGCAGACGTTACTTCCTGATTAATTTGGATATCCTTTGTTTTGAAAGCTTTTGTAAGTCATTTCAAGTAGCTGTGAAACACAATTCTTAAAATCAGCATCTTCAAAGGCATCAACTGTTCCCTATATCTCTGCTAGCTATCAGCAAAATATAGAATGCCTATTACATGGAGATTGAGACATACATGTTTAATTCAGTTACCTCTTCAACTTTGAAAGAAAGCATTAACATGTTAATGCGTTGTTTTACATGTTTTTTGAAAATCTTGGAGAAAAAGTACAGTTGTTTCTTTGCATATATGTACTGCTCATGCTATTTTAACTCAATATAAGCTACGGTTCATTTAAGTTATTTGCTAGAAAGAGTTGGAATATTGGAGAAGTATCTCAGCTGCAGAAGATGACAATCTGTTTATTTGATATTTGGTTCTATGGCTTAAATAGTTTTGATGATCTGATTCATTGTAAGAAAGTTTATTTGAAGTGTGACCTAAAGTATTGTTTTGTTTTCATGTCTCATGCAAAACGTCATATCAATACCATCAGTGGTCTATTCTTAATAATGTGGGAGTGTAATGCATAAATTATGTCTTATACTACTTACCTTTCTCCCTATGCATTATGAACAGTGTATAATATGCTTGGCATTAGATGTACCAATTAGATTCCATCATCTTGGTAAACTTATCAAACCAAGCCCTTGGAGATTGTTTGAAGCCATCAAGTGATTTTGTTAGTTTATAAATCAGATGTTTATTTGAGTGATTTTTCAGCATGGTGGGATTTCCGTATACACTTATTTCTCAAGGTCTCCATTCAAGAACACATTCTTGATATCTAGTTGATGTAGTTCCCACTCTCTGTTCACTGTCAAGGAAAGAACTCTTATAGTGTTTGACTTGGCCATTGGAATAAAGATCTTTTGATAATGTTCTCTATTCCAGCAGTTAAGATTGATTGAAACTTTTGGCCACCAACATAGCCTTGAAACTCTCTATGCTCTCTTATGCTTTGTACGTGACATTGAACACCCATTTGCACTCAACGGTTTTTTTATTTGGAGGAATCTTTGCAAAGATTCATGTGCCATTTAGGTCAAGTGCTTGGATCTCCTCTTTAACTGCTTTTTCTATCATAGACTTTGAAGTGTTTCATGAATGGACTTGGGTATCTGCACACTATCAATGTTAGATATAAAAGCTTTATAAGTTGATGATAACTATCCATATAACATAATTTTGGATATGATAATTTTGTGCAACTTTCTCTGTTTTCTCCATTGGATGCCATCTCCCTCGGAATTTTAGAGATGCATGAATTTAGGTTTGGCTGTGAACAGTAGTATTGTGGTTACATATTGTCTTTTATGCTACTCGACAGATTTCTTTTTCCTGGTATACATATGAATTTTTTGTGTCAATCTCATATTTAATATTCTCAGCTGGTGGAACTTAGGAGACATGTTGATTTTTGGAAATTAGAATATTTCATGATGACTCTAAATCAGTGTGAGTATCCAAAGTAGTGTTGAGAAGTTGAATAGATTATATGACTCTAGAGTAGCGCGCCCCAAGTCTAATTTTCATTCAGACTCTCCCTTTGAATATCATATTTGTGTTAGTAGAGTTGGTTTTCAAAGAAATTAACATCCATGGAGTTATATTTTCTTGTAATGGGAGAATAGCATTTGTGCCCCCTTTTTGTTAGAAGCATGCTCAATGAAGACACATTTCATGAATTTTGGATAAAGCTTTGTCTGTTTGGTTGGTGAATGTGAGCAAAAGAGACACATACATATATTTTAGAGGAAGATTGGATGAGAATGTTCTGACATGATTGTATTTTTCCATCACAATACTGAGAGGGGCTTTGAATCCAAGGACTCTGATTGACATTCTATTAATGAGGTAGGTGGTTATGACCTCATCCCTCCATAAATTTTTTTGGGACATTGTGAGAAAGCATTATAGACTTGCATGCATCGAGGAGGTGTTTATTTTTCCACACAATTATCCCATTTTACTGTGTAGTCTCAACACAAGAACTCATATGAAGGATGCCATTTTTTGCAAGGTAGGGTCCAATGATAGAGTTGAAGTTTTCCTTTGCATTATCAGTTTTAAGGGTACAGATTGTGCATTTGAATTGAGTGGAAATCATATTGTGGAAGGGCTGAAAAATAAATTGGTGCAGTTTCACATTTTTTCTTTATGAGGAACATCCATATACTTCTATTGTGGTCATTAATAAATGAGACAAATCATTTGGTTTCGTTGACGGTATTCAATGTTAATGGTCACCAAATATCACTACGGATGATAAAGAAAGGTTGTGAGGGTTTGTAATGAGATAAAGGGTAGACATAAGAATGTTTAGCCTATTAACAAGTTTCACACTGATAAAACTTTAACTTTTTATTAATAAGGTGATGAGGCTACAAGTTTACAACATAATGAAAGTTGAGATGACCCAGACGACAATGCCATAATAAAACTTAAATTTTTATAAAACTCAGAAAAATAGGAAGAGAATGATGAAGAAGGCACTTGAGTGTTAAAAGAATAGCTTTCCTTGAGCAGGTATAGTCTGATGCAATTCAACAAAGCTAATCATCTTCTCCGAATCCATTACACTTTTAGAATAAAATTTAGTAACACAATTGAAGTCAGGAATAAACTTATTAATTGAATGTAAATTGTAATCTAATTAGAGAACATATAGCACAAAAGAGAGCTGACTATGTTTGGAGACTTTTACTTCTCCTTTCTAACAATATTGGAGTTAGATTCATCTGCAAGTCTAGGAGTTGATACTCTTGGTAGTTGATGAGAGGATTAATATCTCCAGTCATGTGATCAGAAATATCTGAATTTATTATTTAAGGTCGAAATATTCCATTATTAGCAACATAAGAGGACATTATACCTTGGTCTATCATTAAATTGGTAGGCTGCTTGGCTGTGCTCGAAAGAAGTTTCTTGAATGTCTCCAGTTGTTCCTTTGTGAAGGGGCTAGGGTCGACCGACCCTTCGGAAGCGGTAGTAGCATGGGCCATGCGGTCTAACTTAGTGGTCTTCATGGGAGTGCTTGTGTGGACAAGGTGGAGTTGTCAGTGCTAGCTAAATCCACACTTCCTTTCATCATGAACGTTTTTCTATTTTCTTCTCTTTTGACTTCAACAAAGGCTTCATTCCCATATGTCTTCCTCTGACTTCATTTAAGTTCTTGTTTAAACCCAATAGAAACTTGATCATTCTCTTCTTCTTCACTATTATTTTATACAACATAGCATCCTGACGGCACTTCCATAGATAAGTATCATGCATATCTACTAGTAACCTATACTTTATTTTTTGAAGTATCGAGTCAAACTTGACTCTTCTTGTCGGAGTTCATATAGTTTTATCTCAATGTCATGCAATTCTGCAGTGCCTTAGGTACTGAAATTAGTCTCACGAGTTGCTCCCTAAAGTTTTTGTGCTCTCTTATAAAGCAAGAAACTTCTTCGATTTCTGTGATCATAGAATTGATCAACCAAGATATGACCACATGATCCTAAATCTTCAATGAGCGATGCTTAGGATCTATGAACTCAGGAATTATGGTTTTTTTTCGTGAGGTGTTCCTTTTTTCATTTTCTATAAATATACATAAACACGGATTAGGACGATTGAAGGAAGTTGTGAATATTGAGTTTATGATGTGTGTTAAAATGAGAGTCCTGAGACTATTTGGGCACAATTTCTGGTCTGTAATTTTGAATTAACCTCCATAGTAGAGGCAGGCATTTTCATGTCATACTTTGTCACAATTCCAATGCATGTATAGGGTTGGAAAGAATTCCTGGCTGATTGTGCCGCAAGAGAAGAGGACTGCATGTGGTTGCTCTGCTTTCTCGAGAAGCATCTGTTGGGAAGGAAGGACGAGGATAGCGTGCGACTGATATTTGTGTTACCTATGAGAAGTTAGGAATAGGGAGAAATGCTTGGAAGGCTGGCTAATAAATGCAATTGAGAGAGAACCTGAAGGGTGCGACTGTGCTAGCAGAAAGCATCAGAAGCCTGCAAGAATGTACATAGGGAGACGATATGACAGAGGGCCTATAGGGACTAGCAGCTGTAGAGAGAGGCTATGACGGAGGAAGGAGAGCAAGGGTTTGTAATCAAGCTCTGATACCATGAAGAAAGGTGGGGAAAATCATATTGTCTTATTTCTCAATAGCCAAACTACAACTCTTCTCCTTATATAGTAAGGAATGGCTAGGAAAGATTAATTATAACATATATCACCTAATAAAAAAAACATATATCAAGAAGGAAAGAAATATGCGATAATGCGGGAATAAAACTAAAATAAGAAACTTAGAATTCCACATTAATTGTTTCCATTGAAGTTCTTAAGAGTTATTTTAGTACAATACGCCACTTGGATAATTTGGGAGTGTAAAGCCTAGTGCACCATAGTAGGCCCCATGAGAATTGGCTTTGAACATGTAAAATTGTGACAATTGGGGCCATGGCGTCTTTGTAGCTGGTCCTTATACACAGTGTTTTCAAACTGCAAAATGCAATGCACAAGACTTTTTTCTTGCTTCGAAGCACAAAATGCAGGCGAAGCGAAACTTTTATCGACCAAATGGCTAATAAGTTATACAAAACCATTAATGTATAAATACATTCAGAAATAGTTCTAAATTATAAAATATTATTTAAAAGTTGATATAAAATTGAAAAGAATGTGTAGTAAGGCCTTACTTGAAGACAAATGAGCCCACAAAATAAAATTTGTAGCAATTTCTGATAGTTTGTTGCAATAATTAAAATTTTTAAAATTCATAAAAAACCTTATTACCCAAAGCAAAGTTTAAATTTTAAAGCATAAATAAACTAAAAAAGTCTCAAATTTCATAAAATAAGCTGAGTTAATTCAA